CAGCGAACTTCCTGTGCTTGAGCAGTGAACTTCCTGTGCTTGAGCAGCGAACTCAAGAGGCTTCTCTGCTTAATTTGGGTCTCCAGAAACAGTTTGTGGCAACACAACTCCTCAACATTATCCACTTAGGTCACATGACACTGAAAATGTGAATGTGTGTTTTGCTTTAAGGTATGTAGAGATGTCCTCAGTCCTGACCATCTTCTCAGTCACATATCAAACTAACCTGTAATCAAACTAACCTGAGATTGGTGTGAAACAGGCAAAGAGAAGGTTTTTGATTTGGCTTCAGAGAGTGAAAGCCCTGCAGCTGGGGCTGTAGATGCCATAATAACCATCTTCTAAAGAAACTTTGGAGCATAAGTTTCTCTAGTTGCTAAAATCACACTGTGATTGCCTTTAAGAAAAGGTAACTTCAGTTCCCCCGAACTGAGTTAGGTGTAGAGGTGTTTGCCAGCAAAGTAGACCTTGCCACTATTGCACAGATGAATGTCAACATAGACTTAGATTTTTAGTACTTTTTCCTGAAACCTTGGTAATTCTTATTTTAAAAGAAACACAGGCTCTTACAGTTTGGGTTTTAGACATTTTCAGTAAGAGGGGAACAAAAGTTCCAGGACAGACAAAACATAAGTTTTTATAAGTCAGGCCCTGCCCTGTATTTCCTGAATCCAGAAGGTGTCAGGATGCCCATAAATTGTGAGCTAAGGAGATAGATGGTGGGTTAAGCTGCCGTGCCTGGCAGTGGGGAGAGAATGCAGAGGGGTGTGTTCTCTGCTGACCTGTGGAAATGCTGATGCTTAGTCAGAAGAGCTTCCTGGCCACTGACTCCACTGTGTTTGCTACAGGGTCTCAGGGGATGAAAACAGCACAGTTATTATGGCTGACATGGAGACTAGTGAGGAAAGGGCCTGACCACTGTCACGAACAGGCTGTGGCACCAGTGGGTGTGATGGCAGGAACTGGGATTTGAACACACGTCGCAGGGAGAAGAGTCAAACTGCAGTTTGTGTAGAAAATGACAGGACCAGGAGGAAGGGTGCAAGTGAGGCTTGCTGGGAAGTTTTTGGCCCACAGAGCTTCAGAGTGTGTTTCTGACCCCTAGATCGTCGTAGGAGATAAAGTTGTTCTGATGCCTGTGAACGCTGGGCAGCCCCTGCATGCCAGCAGCGTGGAGCTCCTGGACAACCCGGGCTGCAAAGAGGTGAGGCCAGTCGGTCGGGATAGGGTGGGACGGCTGCTGATTGTCTCCAGAGGAAAGAGGAAGAGAGGAGGGAAGAGGGAAGAAGACAGAAAGGAGAGAGGGAAGAAAGCAGACAGGGAAGGAGAGAGGCTGAAAGGGAGGAAGGAAAAGAGGGAGGGAGGGAGAAGGAGGACGGGGAAGGAAGGGAGAGAAGAAGAGAAAAAGGGCAGGGGCTATAAGGAGAGAGGGAAGGAGGAGATGGAGCCATTTCCTGGTTCTCTGGAGTGCCATCCTGCTGGTGTCCGCAGCATCCCTAGGGCATCCGGTAGACATCAGCTCTTGTTCGAACCATCCATTGAACATGTTCGTTACAGAGGGACATGATAGCGAATTGTCCACAGCTGCCTTCTCCTTCTTTTCCTGTTTGAAATGGGTATTTCCGGCACAGAACACAGAGCCAACCATCTCATGTTTTTTAACATTTTTTTCATTACTAGGTGAACGCTGTTAATTGTAACACTAGCTGGAAAATCACTTTATTCATGAAATTCAGCTCTTACCGAGAGGATGTGCTGAAAGCAGTGAGTAAGCCCTCCACACTGACCCACCCTCACACGCTCCACCAAGCACGGGCCCCGGCACTCTGAAAGCTGTGCATAGCCAGCTTCCTTCCTTCAAGGAAGGCCGCTGGCACCACAGCCGAGCACCCACCAGCAATGCATGGCTGGGCCTCCTGCTGGTCCCGGTGGCTGCTGAAGGCCAGGGTTTCTCCTGTCTCTCCAGGGCGACGTTGTGAGACTGTTTCACGCGGAGCAGGAGAAGTTTCTGACCTGTGACGACTATGAGAAAAAGCAGCACATTTTCCTGCGGACGACCTTGCGCCAGTCGGCCACTTCAGCTACTAGCTCTAAAGCTCTCTGGGAAATAGAGGTCTGTCCTTGGTGGGGGCTGGGGCTTTCACTAAATAGATGAGAAGATGTAGACACATTTCTGTTCCGGGCAACACTGATGGTGTGTCCGTGGATGGAATGTGACTCCTAGGAGTTCATCCCCTGTGGCTGTGACCAACTAGAAGTGAATATGTCACAGTGGAACCCATTATAAAGCTGCAGAAATAAATCAAGGGGTTGAGAAGAGAAAAGAAAAACCCACTGTGAATTTGCCCGTGCGGATCAGATCAGAAGCCGTGTGCCTCGGGGGCACCGCCTGAGCCATGGCAGGTGTAGGCGGGGGCACTACCACAGAGCCTACAGAGAGCAGCACATGCCTTTTTCTTTGAATGCCAGTGGAATGAAGAAACTCATAGTGAAGAATGCGTTTTACCTGGCTGAGGCAGGGGACAGCCACAAGCTTAGAACCAGCCAGGTCTCCAAAGCAAGTTCCAGGTTGTCCAGAGATGTGTCAAGATCCTAGGAGAGAGAAAGAGCACATTTATGTTTCTGGGAGCTTTCATTACTTAAACAGTATGGTATAAGGATGGCTTTTTATTTAAGGAACCGTCCTAAACAGTGGAGGAAACAAGACATTCATAGTCCCCATGAACAAGCCAGGCCTGAGATCTAAAGGACATCGTGGCCACAGCTTGGGGTGACCCTCCAGCCTCAGCCTCATGTAGAAATGAATCACGCTTGGCTTTTGCTCCTTGCTTTGAAGGCATACATTTTGCAATAGTTTTCATAGTGACCTAAAAAGAAATGTACAGATTTGGGGGGTTAAAAAATGATCAATGAAATACTTAAGCTCCCGCAGAAGAACTGAAATAAACATCGCCACATTCCACATTTGATTACTAACGTTTGCATCTTCCCTCCCTCCTTCCTGTGGCTGTGGCTCACGCACACTTGTTGGGCCCACACTTCATGCCACACATAGTCCATCCCCGAGGGAAGGCAGGGCAGGAGTTCTTGCAGGGACTTGAAGCAGAGGCCACGGAGGAGCGCTGCCCGCCAGCTCCAGGGGCCCTGCTCAGTCTGCGTTCTTACACGCCTGCCAGGGAGTGGTGGAGGAGGAGAGGCAGGAGCCGCTGATCTGCACATGACAATATACTAGAAATAGCTGCACTGAAGCAGTGTAACAGGAAAACGAGGCCCGGAGCAGACAGGAGGAAGAATGGCCACTGTGCAGCTTCTGGAGAGGGCTTCGTGTGGCTGAGGGTGCCTGGCTTTAGTGTCGCTGTTTGGCCCTGGCCCTTTTGATTCTGCGGCCTGACGATGATATCTATTAGATGGAGTCTCACTGTGCAGTCCCGGCTGCCTGGAACTCACTGGCGCACACAGTGACCTTGAGCTTTTTGGCAGTCCCTGTTTCACGGTCCCAAGGCTGGGAGTTTATCTGGGGGCCACTGAACCCTGACAGGAACTCATGGTTTTTCCTGCAGGACAGCGCTCCTGCTGTGAGGCACAGGCACTCGAAGTGAGGCGTGCGTGTCCCCTGCTCAGTGAGGGGTTCTGGTCTCCCACACGGTTAGATGCGGTGTCCTTGGTGGTGGGGACGTGCTGGCTGGCGTGGAGGACCGCTTGGTCACCGAGGCTCTCCTTCTCTTAGGTGGTTCACCACGATCCTTGCCGTGGCGGCGCGGGGCAGTGGAACAGCCTGTTCAGGTTTAAACATCTCGCAACTGGGAACTACTTAGCTGCAGAGGTGAGACTCGGGTGCCATGTTGGGTCTCTGTCGCTGAAATAACGAACGAGGGACTCCTCCGTGCAAAAGTCATGGCGTCGTCCGGGCCAGTTCATGTAATTTGATTAGTGCTGTGCGTTCTGGGTTGGTGTCTGTCATCTTTCCTGTTGCTGGGATAGAACACGCTGACAAGAGCTCAGTGAGAAAGGAGTTATTTTGGCTCATGGCTGAAAGGTGGCTAAAGATGCAGCCTGTTGGGGCAGCAGGGCCTTGGAGCTGCCAGGCGGGGAGACCGCAGGGTGCTACAATTCTGCCCCTTCTCCCCTTTATGCAGTCAGCACCCCAGCCCAGGGGATGGTGCTTGATTCCTCAGAGCAATCTCCGTCAGTCTGCCCAGCACTCTTCTCCTCAGCTGATCTCCTCAGTTTGCCATTGCGACTGACCGTCACCGTTGGACTGTGGATGGCTGGTGTGTGTGTGTGTGTGTGTGTGTGTGTGTGTGTGTAGGCTGAGGGTGCACGTGGGTGCTTGTGTATGGAGGCCATCAACATCTCTTTGCTCAGGATTCCATCCATCCTGGATTTTGAGACAGGGTCTCTCACTTTTACTGTGCTGGGTGATCAGACTGGTTGGCTGGGACCCCTGTCTTTACCCGGGTTATAAATGCACAAACTCCCAACCTGTTTGGTTTCAGAGAATCAAACTCAGGAATCACACTTTACATTTGGAAGGCATGTACCTTATTGGCAGAGCTGTCTCTCCAGCCCTGGCATGGGACCTACTTTAAAGACAAAAACTAAAAAAAAAAAGACTTTAAAAACAAACAAACAAACAAACAAACAAACAAAACAAAAAGACCAACCACAGGGGCTGGGAATGAGTGTTGTTTAAAAAATGAAAATCCCAATTCACTCAATTTTACCAATGAAGACGCAGGAGCCAGATGCTGGGGTGAAAGCCTCCTAGCTCAGAGAGGCGGAGAAAGCACCCAGGTGACCTTCCTACTCAGCTCAAGTCCCAGAGGAAAAAGCAAAAAGCCAAAAGCTTGCTAGCTCAGCTGACAGCGCAGGAGCAAAAGCCAAAAGCTAAAAGCCAAAAAGTTCCTCCTCCTCCACACTCTTAAAAGTACTGTTCTCTCAAAGTCCCTCCTTCCTGTTAATCCCTGTCAGCTGGTTTCTTCTCCCCCTCTTGGCCTAGGGTTAACTTTATTAAATCTCGTGTACAGAGAGCTCTTGGATTGAAGGTGTGTGTCAGGGCTGAACCACACCAAGCAAGAAACAGGCTTTTACAGGTCACAGTCTTGGGGTTCACAACGGGATCAAATATCCAGTGACACGTGGCTCAGGGGCAGAGCGCGTGATCAGCGTGTGCAGTGGGCCTGGCTCCACCCCTCCGTGTCCCCAGCAGGCTCCTGAGTGGGCAGCTGGTCTGATCATGCGAGTATGTGGATTGGTGTAGAAGGTTCAATGTGACGCCACTCTCCCACATCTGTGTGTTATGGACGTGCTTGTTCCCCTGGTGGCGTGTGGCTCAGCTGGCGTCCAGCTCCTACTCTTTCTCCATGCTTCGAGACAGCTGGCTTTTGCGGCTCACGATCCGGAGAGGGAGGATCTTCTTCCTGTGCCCTTGAGCAGGGACGTATGTGGGGTCCTGTGGCCGACCCAAAGCATGGGCGTGTAAGCTTGGAAGGTTCTTTTAGAAGGGTGAAGGGGAATTGGTAGGAGCGGAAATACAGCTCAGGGCTTAGCTGGGAGGCATAGGAGGACTTTATCTGCCAAGCTAAGGAGTGCCAGGTCTGCGCTTAAAGAAGACGGGTGTGAGGTGCATGCCTGTAATTCCCCAGCTCTGCAGGCAAAGGCAGGCGGATCTCTGTGAGTTCAAGGCCAGTCTGGTCTACAGAGTGAGTCCAGGACAGCCACGGCTACACAGAGAAGCCCTGTCTCAATATATATTGGAGTTGAACTGTTCAGTATGGTAGTTCTGAGTCATCTGTTGGCTACTAAAGTGGATGTTGTTGATGTGAAACTGTATTTAACAGTTTTCTGGTCACACTAGCCCCATTCCTGTCCGCTCATTAAGCATACCACATGGGGCGCCGCCAGTGGGGACACTCCGTCATCCACAGGGAGTGCCAGTGGGAAGGGCAGACTGCAGCTGCTTGAGCCCCTGGAAGAGATGGAAACACACTGTGGAAGAAGGTGGACGGTGCCTTAGGAGCCACGCGTGCGCACACGCGTGCACACAAACACATTCGCACACGCGCACGCACACGCGAGCACGCGCAGATGAAGAAAATGGACTAGCTCCTCTGTTTGTACATAGGCAAGCCTCCACCAGGTGGCACTAAACCCTTACTTCCTGACTCCAACACTCTTGGGTACAGTTAATTAGAACTTACCACCAAAGAGCCTGAGAGGGCTTGTCGTCCCGTCCATGTCCCGGCATAACGTGTGTGTGTGTGTGTGTGTGTGTGTGTGTGTGGTGTCAGGAGCAGCTCTCCGGCAGCAGTGTCGTAAGTGTAGTGAGGCTGAGGACCAGCGGGGAGATGGACCCTGATCCCCGGGACCAGGACCTCTGCTCCTGTCTCCAGAAGATCTGGTGCCCCCTTCTGGTCTCCACAAGCACTGCATTTCCATGCGCACACCCATCCATTCCCCATCCCCTCCCCAAGAAAGCAGAGTGTGCGCAGGGTCAGGACTTCAGGCTGTGTCTTCTGTGGTGGGGACGGAAGGCCGCCGGCGCTCGGCTGGGGACAGCTAACTTGGTGACGCTTGCCCACCCGTGACCATCTGACTTTCCCCTCTTCTGCTGTGCGCCACGTTTCTCTGTCCTGGGCAGCCGACGAAGGAAGAGCGTCTTCCTGAGTGGCCAGGGAGCTCCGCTCTCCTTCGCCCACTCCCTCGGCTCTGACTGTGAACTTGATCTTGGCTATCTCGGTGCCTTATAAATGTAGTATACGCTCTTACAGCCTGGGTGGCTTTTGCCCCCTCGAGTGGGATTAACCCTTTCCATGGCAGTTTCTATACTTCGGTGCTGCTGAAAGCAAACACATACGATTGATTTTCTGTCATTCATGCAAAAGCCTCGTGGGTCTGGAGTGATCTTCCTTTTAGCTTAAAAGCCTCTTTGGTCTAGGCGATCCCTTTTCAACAGAGAAGGCCCCGGGTGTGGAATCTTCCTGACTTGTTGTACACCACCCTGCTTGCTGGGGGCAGGGGGGCGATGTGGTGTCGCTTCCGCGCCCACACTCACGCTCCCCCTCACGACACAGCGTCACTGGGACATTCCTCACCGAAGGGCCTAGAGCTCATCTGAATTAAGGCTTAAGAGTATTTCTCAGAAGCAGGACTGTTGTTAAGTGAGTAATCGCTCCCAGACATTTAAATGAGCGTCACACAAGAGGCCCCGCAAGCAAGTCCCCATTTCCCGCCTGTGCGGCCAGTTAGGATTCAAGCACCCTCAGGGGTTGCGAAGGCACTGGGCAATCCCTGAAGACATCACCCCATTGCGGCATCTTCTCTGTCAGTGTCCCTCACACGTTGTTCACCTCTGCCTCCTAGCTCTGGTCTGTTCTGCTCTGTAGTGTAGCTGACCACATTTGTGTCTCATTTTCCTTCCTAGGTCACAGGGTTGGTGGTCAGTGTTTGGAGTCTTGGCTAAAATCCTGCAGGTCACAAGCTTTGTCCCTTGAAGGTGCCCAGTTAGAGTTTGTTATGAAATCTCTCTCCACCATGCCACCTTTATGATCTGGTTTTAACATAATGGATTATGCTCCTTTTTCCGAACAGCGATCTGCTAATTCTGTCTTGTGTGTACGGGTCTTCTGTCTGTGCCACACATGTGTGCCCGGTGCTACGCACACCCTGGAGCTGGAGTTACAGACAGGTGTGAGCTGCCAGGTGTGAGCTGAGCCCAGGTCCTGTGCATGAGCAGCCAGTGCTCTGAACTGCTGAGCATCTCTGCAGCCCCTGAATTCACTCTCCGGGAGCTTCTCCAGGACGTCCTTTTCTTCTTTAGTGACATTCTTCTGTACGTTCCCACTAATGACTCTGATCACTCCGGCTGGTACTGCAGTAGGAGAAGGGACAAAATGGTAGAATACGAGGTACACATTCTCTTGTTAAGTCTGTGAATGCATGCAGCTGTGAGGTTTTTTGGGTTTTTTTCTTGTGTGTAGTAGTCTTTTCTCACAGCATTGACACACGGCTAACAAAAGCAGCAAAAGGGAAACTGGTGTGTTTCGGCTCACAGTTGCAGGATTCGGGCTGTCCTGGTGTGGAGGGCACAGGGCACTGAGTCAGTCTTGGTGAGGAGCAGGCTGGGCAAGGCTGCGCCTTTCTCCTCTTCTTCAGCCTGGAGCCCATCAGTCCATGCTGTGTCACTCCTGTTCAGGGCGCTCACCCCTCCTCAGTACACGTGGGCATTTGTGTGCCACTGTGGGGATCTTCATTGTGGGTGTGGTATTTAGGCATGTTCGTGAGTGTGTGTGTCCGTGTGCGAGTGTGTGTGCTGGAGTGCACATGAGTATGCAGGTGCATGCTGGGACTGACCCCAGGTCATCAAGCTTGCAGCACCTATGGGCCCAGGCTTGTCGTGTCCTCACTGGTGCTTTTTATTAAACAAAGTTTATTTTGCTTTGTCTTTTCAGCTTAATCCTGACTATCGAGATGCTCAAAGTGAAGGAAAGACTGTGGTGAGTAGATGCTCCTCTCGCTGTGTGCTCACGTCCTATTTTAAATGAATATACCCAAGGCGTTTTGCCAGCAGGCTGGAAGACCAGGCCACAAGGCAGAGTCTGTCACCTGAAGGGGTGGCCTGAGGAAGGCTAGGGCTCGGATGACATTCCCCTTCCCGCCTGCGGGGGGCGCCATGGATCAGCCCTGGCTCTCCAAGATGGCTATGGCAAGGCACTCAGGCTTCCAGGACACAGGCTGTGGTGGGGCTGGGTTCACTTTTCAGAAGTACAAAAGTGGGATTATGGCAAGGCGGTAAAGCAGGGCAGGCAGTGTCTCCTTGGACTGACTATCTGGGCTCTACTTTGTTTTAAAGATTTATTTATTTATTATGTATACAATGTTCTGTCTGCATGTACACCTGTGCACCAGAAGAGGGCACCATATCTCATACAGATGGTTGTGAGCCACCATGTGGGTGCTGGGAATTGAACTCAGGACCTCTGGAAGAGCAGCCAGTGCTCTTAAGCTCCAAGCTGTCTCTCCGGCCCAGATTTGAGTTCTCTTTCAGGGGAGAAAGTAAAGCTGCAATCATGTGGCACAGATGCCGTTCCTGACATCTTGAAGTGCCCTCGGAGCGTCACGCTCTTACATCAGTTTTCACACAAGTGCCTCACCTCCCCTGCTCACCCCTCATCGGTCACCGCAGGGTTGTGGCAACAGTTTGGCTGATTTTATTCAACCCAAAGTTCAGAAACTTAGGGCAGGTAGAGAAACATCTGGGGACGCAGCTGAAGGATGTTTGGAGGGAAGCGGTGTCCCTTTGACATCTGTGGCTGTCACTGCACCATTTGAAACCCCACCGTTTGGGTGCAGCTGCGGTCAGGCCGGAGGAGGACCTGTGGCCCCGACACCAGGTTCACGAGCCTGATTTGGTCTTTCCACACTGGACATCAGAGCTCCCTTTGCATCTGCCATCCTGTGCTGTTGTGACTAGTCAAAAACAAACCCAGAAGCAAAAAATAGAAAACAACAAACAATTCCACCCCACCCCTATGTTTATCTGCCTGCCTGCCTCTCTGTCTGCCTGCCTCTCTGTCTGCCTGCCTGTCTGTCTGCCTGTCTGTCTGCTTGCCTGTCTGCCTGTCTG